AATTTTATAAATTTTGGTCCTCTTTCCACACGCTATTTTTAGCTTGTAGCTCAATATTTTATTCTAAACCTTAAAGAGTACACTTTAATGTAAATATGATTTATGCCTTGCAGGTGTTTAGAAACAGTCAAACATGCAGTAGACGTTTTCATACACTGTAGTATGTATAGTTATGTATATGTAAACATCTTTTGAGAAATAATGGGTAATGTTAAATGATTTATACCTTGCATGTTACCAGAGGCAGTCAAACATACACAAGTTGTAATTCATATACAATACGAAACAACATTATGTACCGATGCCTACTTATGTATTATGTAGTTATGCCTTATCTATATGTAATATCTGCAGAGAAAGAATGGTCAATGTAACACCGACTAAGACCCTTTGCCAAACCTGTAAATACTATCTATTTATGTATGCCTTGTATATGTGAACATCTATTCATAATTATAATGTCATGTAAACATGTACTGGGAAATATAAACGTTAAAATAAAAATATTGTTTTTAAAACAGCATAATCTCCGACAATAAAAATATTTTAAAAATCACTGTCTGTATTATTAAAATCACTGCTTTTATGTTGTATTTGGCAGTGTATTTGTACTGAAACACTCACCTACATCAATATACACAATGACATTAATATGACTAATGCTGAGTAACCAAGAAATAAGGATGCATCGATTCACGATACATTCTGCTCATCAAAAGCATTCTCAGATTCAGAGTTATCGTATATTTACAAGAAAAACGCATATTCAGCATGAAATTATTAAGATACACAATTTAATGCCCCAACAGTCAGCCTGTGACACATAATCGTGTTCATCAGAACACACCCTATATATACTACTGACATTTAGTGCATAATACATTCTATATTTTATCAGCAGGGCAATTCACTATGTTTATAGCCTTTCCGATATATGGCTTTGTTACAACGTTGAGAGCATATATGTTCTTCTTTCCTAAGCGTACAGTAAAACGTCTATGTTTCAAACAATAAAGCTGCAACATGGCCATCAAGAATGTTTGTGGGGAAATTGCTTCAGAGTATTATTACCCAGCGTCAAATTGTTGTGGTTTTATGTTTCACTCCAGTATCAAGTTTCTCCCATGTTCAAGTACAAGGTGGAACCATTAGTAGAAGGTCTACTTTCTTCTCAGTGGAATCCCTGGGTTATGGGTTACAAAGCAATACCAGTAAGATATTTCAACTATTTCTGACAAAATTGGCCTTCTTCCGGAATCGTAAAAATGTTTTGGAGGAGTAAATAACAATCGGTGAACATTTATTTTAAAAACATTCTACAAAAGACCAGGATGTTGTCATTGTTCCCAGATTGGTCATGGGAATGAGCGAGAGACCACGATCCACATGGCCCCCAGCATTCCATGCTTGTCATAGAAATATATAGATGTCCACTAACCTCGGGATCCAATCGAGTCCCCTTACCATCAGCAATGGGTTGATCGATGCTTTTTGTTACCGCGACCACATATTGTGTGACTCATGTGACTCAACAGCACTAAAGCATGTAGATCTGCCTTGTACGTGTGTACAATAGAAAACAGGATTGTCAGGACAACTCGAATGTGTATTTTGGGGGAAGTAAGTCACTTATCAATTTTCCCTTCCCTTTCAAACTACTGCAAACTCCATTCAAATGGCGAACAAAAACATCATGACATATCTCCAACCTGTGCAAAGATAAGCTGCAAAAAATAGCAATGCTATTACCAAAACAATATCGGCCACAAGCACTATTCTTCGATTCTGACAATATTATAAGCATGTGATGATACCTGGTGAACGGGGAATGTTACCTGAGCCGGTGGCCCTCATCACAAACACATTCAGAGGCACGTCAACTGTTTAACTGAAATAGAGCACAAAAACAAATGGCATGTATCCAAAAAGGGACTTGCATCCTTATCGTTTTTGACATTAAGTCAAATTTTCCAATTCTTCGTCACAAGACTTCAACAAAATCTTTGAATGTTGAACAAGAGCCATAGGAAGCTCTCTTAAATAGTCGTGACAAGTATCCACCACAGGCTGGAGCTGCTTAAATATTGTCAATGGTATCTCATCACGTCGTTTGCGAGGTTTGACTATTTAATGTTTGAAAAAACCAGTTTTCATGATTGATGTCAGAATGTGATCTTTTAAATGACACCAATGTGAACTTTTCGAGGCAGTAAGACATAAAATATTCTGATGCCAACAAAAATTCCACACCTCCGATACAATATTAAACAATTGGTCTCTTAGGACACCCCGAGACCCTAATGTGTCGGTGCGATTTCATCCACGACTTTTCACAATGGTAACAAATGAGCAGAAGAGCTCACCAGGGAGGTCACTACAGCCTGGTAGGAACCCCGTGGCCCAACAGCTATTTCTTCAAGTAATTTCTTCAAATTGTCTCGTTTGAAATCTTCTATCATGAAAGCGTGATGTAGTTAAATCCAGAGAAAGATGTAAATTAGGAAATTTCAATGGAAGGACATGCTTGTTAACAGGGTGATCAATAATCATAATATGCAGCCACGTCTTCCGGATTGAGATATGTGTTGTAGACACCGTGGCACCGTGAAAGTGTACTTCAAAAACCACTATAAAGTTTGTGAACATTGATTACTTGAAATATTGAACTAAACATAATACAATTGTAAACGAACTTATCACTTTAAAATTCTTCTAAATCATATCATTCACACTGCGGCGCCTGTGATTTGTTAGCTTCTGTCTGTCAAAGACCTTGAAACATGATAAAAACGTTTTGCTGGAACACGTTATACAAAGGATAGCTGTGAAATGTCCGAACCTAACGACGAGATGGCAAGGTAATCTCATCAGTTTTCTGTGCTTTCAAACAATCCTTGCATACTGGCGGACAACATCCAGAAAGGTTAGATAAAGCCAATGTCGTACAGTGAAACCTGCGAACACCGGCACATGTCCAATCCGGCACAGTGTAAATACCGGCGCAAAATTTTGGTCCCGCCATTTTACAACGATATTATGATCATTTAAACATTGTCCAATCAGCAACCTATATATTCCGTATTCCGGCACGACTTTCCGGTCCCAACAAGCAATTTTAACTGTAATTAACACTGTCTAAACCGGTATGGGTATGAGCAGTCCAATCAAGGACCCATAATCCAATACAACTAATTAATCCTCTTGGCACGCTAAATAAACAGCAAGTAGTGATTGCGCGATGAATCAAACGCTCTCAGCCGGCATGGGTATGAGCAGTCCAATCAGGGTCCCCTTAATCCAATACACTCCTCTCTAGATTGAGAGATTGACGAGTGTAAATGGCAGCCATGTTGGAAAATGATCGTCACTGTCTAATCCGGCAACCTGTCTAAACCGGCATCTTATTTCGGTCCCGTGGGTTTGCCGGTTTAGACAGGTTTCACTGTACTATTCTACTTAGACATGCGCGAAAGAATATCAGAGCTGGATGAAAAACTCGTGTGTTGTCAGAGTTGCAATGAATGATAGTAGAATAATGCTGGATAACAATTAGAACCATCTACATCAAGGCACTCCGTCATAGTTTGTCTATGCGGACTCTTTGTAAAAAGTGAATATCTGTGGCTAATTTTACAACGTTAAATTCTCAATTCCTATGCCATGTTACAAAGTAGATAAGTGGAGATATAATTGTGTCAAAAACGCAATTTTGCCTGAAGCAGCATAAATCATTTTCTAGTTAAAGTGGCTCAGTGTTCGCAAAGAATTATATTGTCAAGATTCATACGTAATTCTAATAACACGTCCAAAGAGAGACTGTTGGGAACCCTACCTAAATGAACACATTTTAAGCATTTCAAATATAATTGTTTTCAATCCAAGGGATACACGCTCGATAAATCTGCTCCAACTGGAGTGTCATTTAGAATTTATTTTTTATTCCCATGAATAGACTGGAATGATTGGTAGTGAGTTGCATCCTTATAATGAGTTTTATTATACTACTACAACAATCCCTATACGTGTACAAGAGCTGTCAATTTAAGGAGACACATCTGTGCCACTAAAACATGATTGCTCCTTGTAGAGTGGTATTAAAATTGACACTTCAAGTTCATGACTGCTGTTAATTGTTGCCAGTGTTTAGATGAGTGTCTACCAGCCGTTCTCAACACTATTCCAGTTACACCATGGTACATCAGCTTCATGTGGGGAAAAAGACTGATGTGATAAAGCCATTTATTAATATATTTGACGTTCAACATTACGGCAAAATCCACAGTACTGGTGTGGTGTTGACAGACCAAGAAAAGGGTCTATGGGTTAGCCTAGTGGTTAAAGCGTTCGCTTGTAACGCCACACTCAGGTTCGATGCCCCACATGAGTACAATGTATGAAGCCTATTTCTGGTGTCCCCTGCCGTGATATTGCTGCAGTATTGCTGAAAGCGGCGTAAAACCATACTTAGTCACTCACTCACCAAGAAAAATATTCTTAGGACGAATCTGGGTCATTGGTTTCTTCAGGGAAGCAACTGAATACAGGTAATTTTCGTAAGTGAATGAACGAACTGGTTTCAATCGTCTGTCATTTAGTTACTGGGAATCAGTTCAATGTGAGAGGAAAATCCATACTGACGAGTAAAGGTATGGAGCTGAGGGACAAGGATAATAATGTAGCATCAACCATAGAAACAAAGAACGGTTAAGCCAGGCTACCCTGATCTCACCCTACTTCTCTTATGCATTCTCGGCCTAGCCACGAATTGACTGACTTGACTGTAATCAAATGTAGGTTCACATTACTCGAGGACCAAATCAGATAATAATATGTGGTTAATGTGTGTTTCCATATGTTATTGCCATTACAGCATTAAACACATAAAGAAATCAAATTCGTTACTCTGTCAACGTACCCGATTTGATCGAGGTCCAGACAGGCCATAGTGAGATGCCAAAAGCCCTTATCTCAGATGAAGTTTTATTTCTGTTCCATTTCAGTGTCATGTTTTCATTGACCTGACCTGATCCAGACGGCCGTTGAGTCGGTTCCTGTGTTTGCTAGTGTAGGATGCTGTGGAAACAGTACATTAACAGGGCCAGATTGGATTACATCACCAAAAGGACTTCAACAGGAAGCGTGTGGCTGGCGAGTTTCAATGCCACCTCAAAGGCTTGTTATCGGGTGTTGTATGTCTGCGTACTTATAAACCACCACTCTGGATTATATATACAGTTATTTCACGATCTTTTCTTGGACACGTCTGGGTTTGTGTGGTGTCTGGCAAACTACATGACTCATGTCGCGATGCCAATGTGTGACCTTCCAGAATGATTACCCCTTGTGATAGAAAAACATATTCGTTTTCCACAAGACGAAGGTAATCAGCTTTGGTAAACCTCTTTCGTGACATCAAAGATTTCCTGATGCTGTATTTGCTTTATCAGCCTGGTTAGAATGTTTTCAGACAAACAGGTTTTGAACATCTGTGTCTTGTGTGTTATTCGGACATGTCAAGCCTAAGAGTAATACGAGCAACATGCGACATGGATGAGGTTTTTTATTGGCACTCGGCAATATTCCAACTATACTCAAGAGCAAAAAAAACGTCAGTACGAATTCAAAATTAGATAGGCACTGTAATCAAATCATTACAGAAATGGACATAATAAGCGGATCAAAAACATTTTTGTGTACAATATCCTGACACATCAATGAATAACTCGGCACAATTCCAAGACATTTCGTGAACGTTTGCAGTCCATTCAGACTCTTGACTTCAATATCTACTGTGACCACCACGAGCGGCAATAACTGCAGCACAGCGTCTATGCATGGAGTGCACCAATCGATTGATGAAGGCCATTGGCACCTGGAACCACACTCTGAGAAAGGCCTGGCGCAATAAATCGGCCTGTTCGGCCTTGGTATGACAGTATTCAGTCTCCTCTGAATTTCATCCCAAAGATGTCCAATTGGGTTTAAATGAGGACTAAGGGCTGGCCACTGCATAATGTTGACACCGTCCTGCTGTAGGAAGTCCCGTGTAGCTCTGGCAGTATGGGCCCGGGCGTTATCATGCTGGAAAATGTTATTCCGGTGACGTCTGACTGACTGACTGAGTTTGGTTTTATGCCGCTTTTAGCAATATTCAAGCAACATCACAGTGGGGGACACCAGAAATGGGCTTCACACATCGTACCCATGTGGGGATTCGAAACCGGGTCTTCGGCGTGACGAGCCAACGCTTTAACCACTAGGCTACCCCACCGCCCCGTATTCCGGTGACGTGCAAAATGTATGACGTGGGGTCTGTGAGCTTGGTTGATGTAGCGCACCGCTGTGATGCTGCCTTCTCTTCCTGGACCAAGGTTCTGGAACACCACAGGACCCACACTGCAGCCTGTAGATGGTCCGAACGTTCACCTGGAAGTGATTGGCAACGGCTTGTGCAGTGTGGCCAGCTTCAAGTCTTCCTAGCGCCTGGTTCCTCTGAGCTGTCGTGAGAAGGGGCATCCTGCTGACGTTGTAATGTGAATGTTTCAACCAGGTTTGAGGGTGCATCTTGGGAAGGAATGTCTTTGCTCAGATAAGATTGGAGATGTCAAAAATATACAATCAAAACATTAAATTAGTTTACAGTTATCCGTTTCTGCGAAGGAAAAATCCAAACTGACGTTTCTTTTGCTCCTTAGTATATATGACAGCGACCTGTCTGACTGGCCTCCAACCCGGGAGAGTCAAACCGGTAACAGCAATTTCAAAACGCCAATGCCAGCAACTCTTAATTCTATTCATCGGTTAACTGTCAACACAACCTGTCAACAATTGAGTTTTAAGCGTTGTGTTTATAAGTACCTACTGATGGCAATCGTGTTGCAGACAAATGCAAAGGCAAGGCAATTATTCACCTGAAAAAACACACGAGGACAAAAAGATACGAGTCAGACCAGGGAATTCCATCCGACATCATTGTTGTCAGTGATTCCCGAAAGCTTTAGTGAGGCCTTGAATATCATAACCCTGATTAAACTTTTTTTAAGCAAGAGTGGTCTGGCACCTTTTCTCGTGGACCGTTAGAGGCAATAAGTCAGGTCAATGAAAGTGATCACTTGATGCTCATTATATAGTGCCACCGGTCGGGCAGGATTGCCGACATGATTACCATCTTCGGTGCACCTGGTTTCATTATTGATGTTCACAAATCCATTCGTATTATTTTCTCCTAATATTTCACCACACTCCCATATTGGTCTCTTTCAGCGGATAACAGAAAGTATTTTCTGCCATTGACATTTTCTATACTCTTTAAAAGAGTCGGGGATATTCCATTTTAGAGTATATATGATTTAAGTTTTATAATATGGACTTAGAAATGATTATTCCATTCATAAGATGCTTTTGATTTCGTTAAAAAATACGCCAATGTAAGTGGTCGTCATGCACGTAAACCAGGTTGGTGAACATTTCTGAATTTTCAATGAAACCTTTCAGTTTTGGTGTAATATCAGTGATAAAAACCAGACTGAAAGTTATTCCGATATTGTTTTAAACAACAACTTCATGCAAATGGCCCGTTGGAACAAGACAGCATTGTTGTACGAGATCTTAACTTTAACAGTCAGTAATTACCAAATTGCAATCATCATACAAAAGACAAATAGTGATGATGACAGACGTCGATCTGCTCGACCAAGCGCGACAGCACTCGCTCGTTCATCCGAAAGACTGACTATGTGAGGAAACCGTGGTCAAAGTGCCTTTCTTTTCATTGTAATTTAGTGTCTCATAGGCCATTTCTGGCCGGACAACGTACTGTGAATATGTGTAATTTTTAATCTATTGAGAATGTACGGTGTGTGACACCTAAATAAATAATCTTTCTTCTTTCTTCTTCTTCTTTGTAATCGGCTACACAGATGGAATCTGGATGCGCGACGTCCACATGTTATCCCACGATTGACAGACCGGCACATCATCTCAGAACGTCGTTGGTGTCAAGAGCAGCACTGTTGTACTCGTTGAGAAAACGTTATGTTTTCTGATGAATCAAAGTTTACTTTGGACTTCCTTGAAGCGCAACAGCGTGTGCCGTATACGGAATGTGTTTCCATGCAGTTAACTTGGGATAGAATTATCGTTTCTTGTAACCTAGCAATTGTCCTGGGTTGGACCACTGTGACTGTCAGAATACCTCTACATTTTATTCATGGACGTGTCACTTGGCAGTACTAGAGGTAAACGTGGTGCCATTCGCACGCCGACATGGAAGTCATTTTGATTTTCAGGTTGACAACGCATGAGCACATTTGGCAGGTATTGTTACCGAGTACCCCCAACATTAGACAGAACCACCTTACCATGACCAACATTCGGTCGAAAATGTCTGGGAGCGTAAGTCACCGTCAACAACCTACGGCCGCTCTGAGTGAGCTTTGTCCTGCTTTGCAGGAAGAATGAGATAAAGTAAACCAAGTTTGCATTGGAAGTTTGATTAGGAATGTGATTCGTAAAATCCGGGTTTGTTTTGAGACTAGAGGCGGATTTGCGTAAAATTAATGATTTTGACTTTTCATGATAAATGACGTGATGGACAGTAGGGCGCTTTGGCCAGTCATCCATCAAATCCTATGACCATCTGCTGACGTTCAACAAATGCAAATCTAAGGTATCCGTCCCAGTTACACAGACAAACCTCCTGTCTCACTGAAGACATAAAATACTGAAAGTTGTGAGACCTGTATATTGATATCCCCTACTTGTTTTCAACTGTATATTTACATCATACATACAGCAAATGGTTCTAATCCAGAATAGCCAGTGAATATATATAAGATATGAAAGACACTTGCGCTAGTCTCAGTTTAACAAGATTAAAACAAATTGATAGATGTGCCATTTGCCCGGATCTCACTTACACCAATATACACAACGACATCAGTCAGAGAGATAAATAAGGTTACGCGGTTTCTCAATACGGTTACTTGTCAAAGGCATGAGGGTAGAAATTATGGGAATTGTTATTTCATGTGGCTGTGCCACTGTGATTTGACTAAGGACAATAAGGTAAAACGGGAAAATATCCAATTAGTTTCTCAATTTCTAGTTTCAAGTCATTACGACATATCCACTGACAAAAAGCCTTCTAATATCTTGTTACATTAAGCTTGTAAAGACACAGAATAAGACACATACAGTAAACACGCAATAGTTAAATAAATCACTTAATGCCGCAGCGTAAAGGGCATGACTCATAGTATTTTTCATACTTCAATTATAATGGCACATGACTACATGACATATATCATATTTCAACTCAAGGGCAATTCTATTTCTTTAAACTACATGTATGCATCCTGTCCAATGTACAATAGCGAGAGCATGTATTTTAATCCTTCTTTAGTGCACAGTAAAACGTATCGTTTTCAAACAAATGTGCATTGTGGAAGTCACTTGAGGAAATTTCTTCATAGCATTATTATCATTCCACAAATTCCTACACGTTTGTTTCACTCCAGAATATCCATTTTGACCCATCGTCTAGTACAGAGGGTATAAATATTTCCAACAAAACTGCAGAAAATAGAAAACGATCTGTCATTTGGTACCTCTTGGATAATGGTATGCCCACAGAGTATATAATATAAAATATGTTCAGTATAGTATTGGATGACTTCCCGTCATAATCAACAGTCAAAGATTTGGATTGCTTAATTTATATTTAGTCCAGGGCTGTTTATAAGGACACCCCCATTTCAATCTTCCTAAAACATTGTGTCCAGATATTCAAGCTGGTACTGTTTACAATATATTGTGAGCTGACAAATGGATGACCATTCAGTGTTTAGTTTGAACCCTTGGCATCATGTATGAATAAGTGAAAATATTAGTATAAGTTATGTCCTTATGATTACGTCATCTCAAAGGGGATGGGTAGTGACTTCTATCAATCTCAAACACACAAAATATTTCTTGCATATTTTGCTTCCTGAAGTGTTTGATGCATTTATTGTAGATTTTTCGGGTTTTTTAGGGTGCCCCGATAAAAGGTCAATAATAGGAATCGTGAGAGTGGAACATAGCAAAACCAAATTGCTTGAGCTTGACAGATAATATGTAGAAGAATAAAGCATAAAAATAACTGCATTGGTATACTTTTTGATCGCCCCTCGTATATGTTTATCATCCAACAAATCCCTGACAGATGAGATGTTTCAACGAACACTCTCTAACGAGGATGACCTACTTCAGCAACCAGAATACTATTTTGAGGCGGAAATTACACATTGGTCAAAATTTAAACAGACAATTCTGCTCGATGTTATAATTATTGGAACGTTGTCCTCTGTATGCCATGGTTGTTAAGATTTGACTAATACAAGTGTCCAGTTTCTCTTCCTTTCAAACTACTGTAAACTCCATCTGAATGGGGAACGACAA